AATAGGTTCTTGTCCAAAAAAGAAACCTAGCCACTGAGCTTTTGCATCGTAGATAATAAGTTGAACATCATACAGTTTCATTTTTTAGCGTCTAAATCCAGTAAGACTAACAGATGCTATTTTTCAAACAAAAACCTCGACAATTCGAGTGTCAAAACTATGTCTGTAACTATCGCACACCACTTCATAATCAAAGGATATAATTAATGACACTTTTATAGAATCTTCATTTCTTCATATTTAACGTATTTGGCACACTTTACACTTTGGTGAAGTCGTCAATTAACTCGTCGGGTTACGTCGCTGAATGAAATTTAAGGAGATTTTTATTATTTTCATCATTTCCCTTGTTCACTTCCCATTTTACATTTTGATAGGAGAGAATTCGGAGTTTCCCTTGTTCATTATACTCATATCGGAGGAAAGGTAATCATTTTGTGAGCTCAGAAAGCCCAGATTACCTTTGTGTACTTTTAAAATACAGATAAAATCTGAGATATACATGTACATATAAGTCAATCGATCCTAGAAATAGATAGAGGAATGTGTCTGATAAACTTACCAGCAGTGCCACTATAGCCTGATATCGTTAACATGTAGTCTGTATCCGTTCCCCCAACTGTAAAATGGCTGTATTGAGCATAGCCATCAGAACCGTCTTCAAATCCCAGGTTGATACGGATCTTAGTTAAACCCACAGAGGTTAAACGATGAATCTCCTTCAAACCTACATTGGAATGAGGGATACAAAATGTCATTTTCTTGAATAATTGGGCCTCAATATTTTTCTTTTCAAAATCACGTCAATTTTAAATACTTTCAATATAACGAAATTGAAGAAAATGCAATCTTGCTTAAAATTTATGAAAACAAAAAATATCCTTACCTATCCAAAATTCATTAGAGTTGGAACCAAATCCCGCTTCATACTCTGTCCAAAGTTTACTGTGAAAGTCAATCACTCCATTAATTCTTCGCTGAATTACCTACAAAACAAACCTCATTCTGATTCAGTTCTGAATCAGATAATAGTTGGCCATAAAATATACCCCCCCCCAAAAAAAAATAACAAAACGTCATCTCGCAAAAGAAAGAAAGAAAAATCCCTCACAGTCCAAACTTCTCCTGAGATGAGTTTGCAAACATAAGAAACGTTATTTCCGTCCAAAGTGACAGGGTACTGCTCTGACTCAGGGCCGAACTTGTTTGTGATAGGGAGACAATCACAGCCCTCGGCACAGTTCATATCTACAAAAGGCAAAGTTTTTTTATTCAATGTGTAAAAAATTAAACGCTACAATACTGCGAAATCATTAGATTTAGTGGTGGTTTAATTTTTGAGGACTTTGAGGGTGCTGCTCATCCACAAATTAACCTCTTCCATGAATTAGCAATTTTGGGATTCGAAGTCATAATCCTATTGTATGTTTAAGAAATAAACGAAATTAAGTCTCCATAACCCTGTAAAATTTACCCAATTTACAAAAATTGACCCCCACGAATTTTAATGATGGAACGGTACACGTCATCTCGATTTTGATTGATAAGTGGACTGTGATATTTTCTAAATTATTATTTTTTTGAGGTACTGGCGTGTGTAGAAGGGGTGCCAGTGTTGTTAATTAAATACGTTGTACCTATAGGCGTGGTAGCAATAGCAGTCGTTGTATCAGCACTAGCTGTTGTTTGAATTGCAGATTCAAGAGCTGTTTGTGCTTGGAATGTCAACAGAGTTGTTGTTTGTGATGATAAATCTGATGTTGTCTGAGGAATAGAATTTGATGTTGTCTGGATCGATACAGGTTCAGACGAAGTCTGTGGTGTCGTTACTTGAAGAAACTTAGTGGTTATCTTGGAAAGAGTTGAAAACATTTGAGAAATAACATTTCCTTGTTTGTGAATGAGGTATTAATTTTGAATATCATTGAAATTTGTGGTTGCACATGTTAATTAAGCATCAGCTTATTTCCATATTTATGTTTGCAACAAAGTAATGATTTAAGTTTTTCATTTCCGTTTTGATCAGCATTTTTAGTTGCCCAAATTATCTCCCCCCCCCCCCCCCCCCCAATTTATAATTATACTCACTTCAAAAAAGCGCCGGCAAATGTATGTGTTGGTGGAACTTACATCTGGCAATGTTGTCCACAGACGACATCTTGGGTAGACCGTGACGTCACATATGTCCATAGCCATACAATCGGATGTTTCTAAGCATCGCAGACCACAGTGTATTTCAGGATTTTTACCTCCAAGTAAAAAATCTAGTAATTCGTTTCCCGGAAAATAACTAACATTTTCTGCGAAAAGAAAAGACACTTCCCTTACAAATTTTCCATGTGAAATACCAAGACAGGTAAAGAGAAACAACACCAAAATCCCGTACATCTTGATCGAGAGATATTCCAAGGAAAAGTCGAGTACGGTCGGAAACCATTTCTTCAGCATTTATATAGAATTCATTATATGATACATAATAGAATCAGATATCAATTGCAAAAATCAATTACATATTAATGAAATTTATGAATACTTTTTCAGATAATCCGTCTTCCGGATTCACCAAAATAATTTAATTCGATTTTTTTAACACATCATTTGACTTCAAACGATGAAACTTTTTATCTTCATCGAATTAAAATCTTTGATATCACGTTTACAAATGTATCTGTATTCAGTCTTTAAGATATACGCTATGCTTATGGGAATTACTGGATATTGAAATTATTGAAGAAACAAGATTAGATTATCTGTACACTGTTCAATCTATATTGTGCGATCACAGTTTTATCAACTTTGTATTACATACAATTATATTTTGTACATAAAATGAAATATGAAGATATAATGAACAGGAATCAAGCTCAAAAGTTCCCTGAAAGAAATATTTGAAGATAACAAAGTTCAAGCTTAGAAGTCCATTCAAACAGAGCAATTGGGAGCAAAGTCAACACGGGTCCCCAAAAGCATCGCAGGCGACTAGAATCAGTTGGGGGACTTACATGTAAATTAACCCCAACTAAGGGTGATAGCTAAAATAAAGACATTTGACGATGGAAAAGTTGAAACCATTTCACTGGAGCAAGTTGGTTCTTATCGTCTTTAGTAAGATTATTAATTCGTGAGGAGTAAAGATTGGGCTGTTACGTATATACAGCATTTGTTGAACCCGACAACATAATTGTTTGTTTGTAGAATTTTTCGAGAGTATATGAACCCGGAATAAGTATGATAGATCGAAGCCAGATATAGGCATATTACTGGTTACAGAAAAAAATATTCCCCCATAAACCCAGACACATGATCTCATGGATCTCACATGATGGAAAGATCGAAAACCAAATTGATCTTGCGCTTAGAAATATCAAAATAGTACAGAACTTCCATCTCAGATACAAGGGCGATGAGAGGAGCTCATATACAAGCGGTGAGCAGGAACTGATAAGGAGTAAGATCAGAATAAATTTGAAGAAACAAAAGCAAAATATAAATACGAGACTTAGAAATAAATACGAGTCACAAAACTACAACACCTAGATAAAAGGGACTATGAAAACCAAGAAAGAATCGTTCTTGTTCCGTTATTCTTCTCCACGTTGGAGTCGAAACACCAATTCCAAGTGCTAGAAGAATCAATTAGAAAGAGTTAAAGACAATCACACCTAGGGATGTATGATAAAAGGTCACAACGATACAACAGACAGAATACTTGGAGTAAAAGAAAAGGAACAAAAACCTTTCAATCTGGTAGAAGAAAGAGAGCAGCTAAAACTCCTTCAACCTTAACATCCATTAAGGACTGAAACCGAAGGAGACAGATATAATTTGGAAAAGGTGGACGAGTTGATGGTGTAGAAGCGGAGAGGTTAAAAGCAGACTCAGAGGCAACAGAGAGACTCTTTAAAAAAGTTGGCTGCAAGAACTTATACCATCGATTTGTGATAAGGACCGGATTGTGAAGATTCCAGTTAAAGAAAGGTGAAAGATCGGTATGCGATAGTTCTAGAAATATCCGGTAGTCTCTAGCTCGTCAGATATTTAGGATTAAGTAATCATAATCATGATAAGAGTGATGAAGAGGATCCAAGATAGAGTGTGAAATTAAGTAGGTGATGGATGAATAAGCTGCTTTAGAAGGAGGATTGCTACAATCGGTACCTAACATCGTAGAGCAGTGCACCTTATGGAACTCAGCATTATTTATCTTGTAAACTAAGTTTATGGTTGAGAACAAGGCTTTCGAATCCCTTAACTGAGAGAGAGTCTATCATGAACCTCCATGACATCCCAAATAAACTGGTCAGAATTGCATGCAGTCGTAGACGATATAGGTTCTAAGAATCTGACTTGTTCTTTAAACACTAACAAAAAGAGTAAAACAGAGCTGTATACAAGGCCGTAACTACCATTGAGGCAAGTGAGGCAAAAGCCTCACTAAATTTTTAGAGATTTCTGAAAAGTGAAAAAAGGTTTCCATTGAACTTGTGAATTATATGTGTTTTCATGCATAATGAATATTTTCAACTTTTGTTTTAATTTCTGTAAATCGTTCATCTCAATAGGTGTCATATTTTTTTTTATATTTAAAATGCATGTAAAATATAATTTAAAATATTTGTTTTGTAAATTGTTTGATTGTTAAAACCCTTTCAAAGAATTTCTCATTCATTTTGAGACACAACTTTTTGCCGATAGAGGGCTGCAAGTTTTAAATATGCACTGGGCTCTCAGGGTTACTGAAGATGATTAAAGAGTTTTTACGGTCTCATGCGAAGGTCCAGTCTCTACATCCCGCAGAGGGATTCGAACCTGCGATGCAAGGATAAACTCCTTAGTCTGTGACTCTAGAGCATGCGCTCTAACCACTGTGCGATGCGGGCGACAATTCAGAACATAAAACTCTCCAAGATTTAATCTTTTATTTTCTCATACCCTGGTTTCGGGATCCCCCTCCTCCTGAAATCCCCCATCACCAGTGGCGGATCCAGAAGTTCATGTGGGGGGGTTTTGAGTCCCAAAGGGCCGAAGGGGGAGGGCATGGGAGGGGGTGTCCCCTTCCCATAGGTGGGGGTTCGGGCCTCCCCCGAGAAAATTTTGTTTTAAATGGTTCTAAATGGTGCATTTTCCAGCATTCTTTTGTACTTTTTGTAGCTTTTTTAAAGACCAATCATCACAAATTTTTAAGAATCCAGAAAAATAAAATGTTTCAATTTGATTTAACTTTAACACAAAACTTTAGACCTTGTTTAAAAAAAATGGAGGGGGGGGCTTCCCCCCTCCCCCAAAAAAAATGTTTTAAATAGTTCTAAAATGGTGCATGATTTCCAGCATTTCTGGTACTTTTTGTAGCTTTTTTAAAGACCAATCATCACAAATATTTAAGAATTTAGATAAATAAAATGTTTCAAATTACATGTAATTTTACTTTAACACAAGACTTTAGACTTTGCTTTAAAAAATTGTTACATCTGACAATTTTAGGAATACGTCAAGCAGTTGACTTCAAGTTGTATTCACTTTAAATGCATTTTCAATTAATTTAGTCAAGCTGACTTCTAAGATACAACTGATGTTCAATTTTAATCACTTTCAAAAAATTAAACATTGGATTCTTTTCAGAATTCCTAATTAGTGCTTTTCAATTTACTTGAGTATACTGTCAATATGATTTGGAATATAAACACACATGCACAACTAATGATATTTCAAACTAAAAAAAAAATTACTTAAACCGAAGAATCTATCAAAACTAGAGGATTATGGAAAGCCAGCCTGATTTTGTAAAAAAAAAAATGTATCAATTTAATTTTTAAAATGGTAAATAAAAAGCCCTATATAATTGTTTATTCAAATAGTTAATAAATACCATGCATTTTATCAGCAAATGAATATCACTGAGCAGCACTGTAACTATGCAATTTTCTGTTTTTGATACTTGACTACATTGTACTATACGATGATCTTGTGACTTCACTAGATTCACGGATTACCCCTCTCTCTGTTGATTACCTGTGTATTGTGTACGTTCAAGCGGAAAGTGATTTCCTGTTATGTAGTTAAAGTATATTTCACAGTTGGACAGAACAATGGATTCGTGTTTATTAGAGTCTTATCAATGCAAGAAAATGATAATATGACACTTGTAAAAAAAAAAAATTCAATGTAGCGGGGGGAAATCGTTATGATTTTCCGGATAAAAATAACGTGCACGTGAATCCGCCCTTGATCACTGGCCATCAAGTAAAAATTCCCTTTCCCTGTCTGGGACTAAGAATGTCCAGCACCTTTGCCTCACTAAATATTTGAGCTTAGTTACGGCCTTGGTATAATGACTGGATTATTTTTTTTAACCATATTATCGCAAATGTTATTTCTAGTAGGCTTTTAAAAAACAGTTGAAGACTGCATATATAATTTAGGCCTAGTATAGAATTACATCAGACTAGTTTATTGGTCCCTGATTACATGTACACGCGACAATTTTAATTTCATTTGTTTTATTTTTATGAAAGGATGCGATCAAAAACTCTTTAAATTTTTTAATCTTTCTTTTGTTTCAATCTCTTTTTTACATTGATAATTTATGGTCAAAAAAAGATTTTACAATCAGTATTCTCGTGTTCCTAAGGAAATCGTTATGATTTTCCCAAATCAAAGGCGGTTGAAAAAAAATTGAAAAGTTTCTCTACGTAAAAATTTGCCAACAGCTGTGAATGACACAAAGATTATTTTTATACATTTTGCACCCGCACCATGCAGCATAGCCATCATATAGGCATTATCACGTGACAAATGACCAGGATATCAACACGTGGTATATCTTGAAAGGCATATATGTACATCTTCATTTTGATGACAATAAAACTTCTGAAATCGATGGAAATGAGGGGGGGGGTAGGAACATTTTTTGCAGATATACATTATACCTAGGCTTTGAAAATGGGCTTCAAGTGGAGTGCAATGGGGATGCCCATGCATATTTATGGTGACCGATAAATCCTTTGGTGTGCACTATTTCTAGTTCAAAATATATATTTTATTCATTGAATTGGACAAGGTCTTGTAACTGAAGTATGTAAATCTGATCAAAAATATGAGAATGATAATCAATGTTAGTAATTTTAAATTTTTAATTTATACATAATAACAGGCGGTCTGATCAGCTGCTGACCTCTTGACATTGAATGAAATAAGTATAATTTTTTTTATGGAACTTCAGCTTAGCATAATTAATGTTATTATAACCAACGTTATATGTAAAGGGGTCTAACGTCAGTAATATCAAATTTTAAATAAACGATGTTTTATCACAAAGGTTAATAAAGAAGAAGGCTTCCTGATACTGGATGACAGCACTGGCAAAGTGAAAGTTTTAGGATACAACAAAATACCCTATATTTCTCCTTCAGTAGATATAGGTCAGAATTATTGACTTGTTACTTCTTTCCTATCTGACAGCTCTCTACTGGGCATTATAAGTCTGCTTCCCTAGCAATATTTTTTTAGCAGGAAGGGAAGATTTAAATTGCTATAATATTCTCTACTAAATTCTCAGATTTTTTTAAAAAGAAGAATTAAATATAAAAATGTACTGTAATTAGATAAAATACCCAGTATAACATTATGCTTTCAAAATTATTTTTTATTTCACTGAATGACTAATTTTTTTTTTTTTGATTTATAGGAAAGTATGTCATGGTTGTTGCTTCTATGGTCAGAAGTGGAGAGCTCCCTATGGTGAATGCCATTAAACTCCAGGATCTGTCTCTTGTGAGGAACGCGGAGCAGTCGTGGTCTCTGGAGGTCATGGATCAAATCCTCCATCTCAGCGCCATACACTGAATAGAAGTCCTATGGAAATTATTATTAATCTAGTGTTGCAATATATATAAAATGGATGCTTTATTAATTTGTGAATTTTTAAACCACTGTATATTTGCCCATATAGTCTCACTCTTTGATTGATTTGATGAATTGCTATTCTGTATAATAGTTATTTGTCAGTCTAGATATATATGATATTAGTTTTGGTATAATTACTCTATGGTTTGTTCTATGATTAATTGCTCAAAATTCTGTCGGACTGTTTCGTTAAAGTTTTTTGTAAGTCTTAAATTATGTCATATACATAGATCGATCATTATGTGAAATGTCTTAATTTATGTACAAATGATATATAGAAACTCTGTAGAATTATAGAAATATATTTAAAATGTTGAAGATACACTTGTACATTAATATGCTGCGCAGCTAACAATTTCCCCTCAAGTGGTCTTGAAGGGCATTTATGGTACATTAGTCTGACCAGGGGCAGATAACTCGAATAATGTTTACACTTGGAGATTTAGGATGATTTTAAAACTAGCAGCTTTTGATTGTAAGACGATGTCCTCCAGACTGAGCAGTCTTCTGACCTACTCTAACTTTGTGCATGCTGTGTCAGGAGCCACGGTTAGTGTTATTATATGTTGTTTGTTGTTTTAATAAGAATTTATTCACTCACCCTTATATACATTGTAGCTCATGTATCATCAAAATGAAAGTACAAAAGTTTCCTGTACAGCTTTAATTCATATTATTTATATAAATGATAATGATACAATTTTTATTTGAAATTTAAAAATTGATAATGAAATTAAGAAAATAAATCCAAGCTTTTAAATTGATTAACAGATTTTTCAACAGTGTGTATTGTACTTTTATGCTTAAATGTGAATGTAATTTGTTGCAGGGCAGTGTGATTGCAATGACTGTGTTTTATCCTCTGGAAACTGTTAGAACAAGATTACAGGGTAATTATTAGGGTAGACCATTCTGTAAAAGATATTGATGAATTATGTATGTTCTTGTTTGAAATTTTTGGCCAATGGAGATTAATATTATGTTTCTTTCAAAAATTTATGCTGTTTATGTGTAAGTGTTTTCTTTTTGTAGTTCATGTAGGCAGGCAAGCTAAACACACACCAATGGAAGCTTTAGACATTATAAAAGATGAAGGGGTGTAAGTACCCAAATATCTTTTGAAGAAGGGGGGGTTCTTTGTTTTTTTATCATGATACTATGTATAATACTAGAACAACAAGGGAGAATTTTTTTGTTAAGAATTGCTGTCTATAAAATGGTTTTTAATGATCTTAAAATATATTAAGATATCAATGATAAAAAATCTATTATTTTATTTTAATATAAGGTACACACAATATACTAGTAATTCATTTTTTATGCAATATTTAGTATAGCTTTGTTTTATAACTATGTGTATGTTGTTTAGATTGTCCCTATACCAGGGCCTTTTTCCTGTACTGGTCACACTGTGTTGTTCTAACTTTGTGTACTTCTATACCTACAATGGTCTGAAAACAATACTCCAGGAGGAAGGGAGCAAGCCAGGGCCATTGAAGGATCTACTGATGGCTTTTGTCTCTGGTGAGCAAAACAAAAACTTAATCTTGTAAAATTAGAGATAATCCTTTTTTAGCTGCAAAACTGTAGCTCTTGGGTTGAAAAAATTCAGACAGACAAACCAGAGAGCTGCAGAGATCAAAGCATTATTTATATGGTAACAAAGAAATGTTAAATTATTACAGGGGTCATCAATGTTCTGATCACAAACCCTCTGTGGGTTGTCAACACTAGGATCAAACTACAGGGACTTAAATGTGGCACTGAAACACAGAAAACAACACCCCCTCCCACCTACAGGGGGATCTTAGGTAGGATTCTGAGTTTCAGCTTTTTCCCAATAAATAAGACTGTGTGCATGAGATTTTTTGAATAAATTGATTGTTTACAGAAATCTGATGGTCGTTGTCGTTGTTGTTGTTGTCGTTTCGTTGTCGTACTATGATCAAATCAAACTTAAAATTTACATTTTCATCTTCTTCTCAACCACTGGGCCAATTTCAACCAAACTTGGTACAAAGTATCCTTGGGTAAACAAACAGTTATTTTAATTTCAATGACCATAAAAACTTTTCAAATGATATACAATGCAAAAATTAATGACATTTTTAAAAAAATCTACATTAAAGCAAAACCACTGGGCCAGGATAGTATTAAACATATATAAATGCAAAACCAGGTAGTGTAGATTCAAGTTTGTAAAAACACGACAAACGAAAAAAAACTTAACAAACGTGCACGCGGTAAAAGTTTTACATAGGAATATATAGGAAAAATCTTTTTTTTTCTTCTATTTTTTTTGTCTGCAAGAACCACTGGGCATGAACATTTTCTTTTTAAATGAATTTAATGATATGTAAAAACTTATGTGGAATCATCCTATTTATTAGATTCAAGTTTGTATCATCTTCCGGGGGGAGTGGTAAATGTCTACAGTAAAGTTTTACATAGGAATATATAGGAAAAATCTTTAAAAGATCTTCTTCTCAAGTACCACTGGTGCAGGACACAGATTTCATGTGGGATATATTCTTTATTACGATTTATATATTTGTAATAGCATTTCCCCCAAAAATATATATATATATATTTCCTAGCCTTATTGCTCAGGTTTTTAGCGATGTGGACACATCCTTGCACTCTCACAAATTTTAATTTTATTCTTAATACTTAGAAAAGGTGGTTTGCTTCAATATCTTTAAGATGAAATAAAATTAACATTAAATCTGTTTCCTTGATTGTTAAAGTCTGCTATCAAAAATATTGATATTGGACTGACAATATAAAAAGTGTGAAGTGTTTTCAGTGAAAATTGGTGGTGTGAATTTACTGGATTATTGAACATTTAAATTCTATAAAAATTCATAACATCAAATTGATTCGATTTCAAAAAAAGATTTTTATCAAAATTTTCATTAAAATAGCTAAATCTAATATTGTACTTATGGTAAAACCATGCAAAATGAAAGCATTGCATTGTTGTACATTGACGTTGCATCGTTTTTGAAAGGAGGGGAACCAGAGAAAAAATTTCAATCAAGCTGAAAAAAGGATTTTAAAAATTGACAAGCAAAAATAAAAAGGAAATTAAAATGAAATAGCCCAAACGCGAAAATCCTATTTCGTGTGTGTGAGTGAGGGTGCGTGTGTGTGTGTGTGTGTGTGTGTGATTGTTGTTGTTGTCATAAACTTTTCACCATTTTTTTCCTTATACATGTACTATATAACCCTTTTTTTTAACCTAACTCTTAAATTGGGAAATGTTGCTACGTGCCTGTCATATGATATGTCACTGTAATGTAAAGTTATCATTATCATTATAGATTCTTGTAATATTTAAAGAATTGGGGAAAACCAATTTATGTAACAACAAAAAGAAAAAAGAAAAGTGACGAAGAATGAGAATTTGTTTTCATTTTATGTAAATTCTTTTCTTTCATTTGAAATTTTTAAGCCAATATGGCCCCCCCCCCCCCATAAAAATATATAGGAAAAAATTAAAAAATCTTCTCCAGAACCACCTCCATGTTGTAGAGCTGGGAACATAAACATGATGATGTGGCAAAGAGTTCTATGCGAAAAAATGTGTGGGAAATTTTTGTGCATACAAAGTATGGCATGTAAATGAGTTTTACATAGGAATATATAAAAAAATACCTCAGTTTGTTGTTTTAATCGCGATTCTATGAAAACATCCGCATTCTTTTTTCAGTGGTTTTCGCATTTATAGCTGAGTAATAGATTTACCGCTTTTTGGCAGATGATACTGCTGAGTCAGTAATAAATACGCAAATTTGTGTAAGTTATTATATATTAAATTTAAGCAATTTTTTTAAACCTAGTAATGTACCTGAGAAGTGTGAAGAGTTTCTCGCCGTAATGTAGAAATTTGTTCAAAAAAAATGCCGGGGGGGGGGGGGGGGGATTTACTGCGTGCACGTTTGTCAAGTTTTTTTCGTTTGTCGTGTTTTTATGTACGTTTGTACTGCAAAAATGATCGTTGGTTTTGCATTTAAATGTTTGTTTACAGAAATCTGTTGGTTTTGCTTTAATGTATATTTGTTGAAATTAAATTATATTATGCAATGCATATCATTTGTTAAGTTTTTATACTCATTGAAATCAAAATAATAGTTTAAAATTTAAATGGTAATTTTTCAACTTTCTTTCTCTCTCAACCCTTTCCAAAAGAAAATTTAACCAACAAAAGAACTCTGTCAATTTTAAAGTTGAAATAATTAATATATCTGTAATTGTTGCTTATGTGTGCTCTGAGTTTAATTTGTTTTATTACAGATGGTCTACGTAAAATAATTTCACAGGAAGGTGTACGTGCCCTATGGAATGGAACCTCAGCTTCCGTAATTTTAGCTTCCAATCCCTCCATTCAATTTATGGTCTACGAGACTGTCAAAAGATACTTCCAACAATTTTTCAAATCAAAAGCAAGTACTCTAATCATCTAATAAATATAAGTTGTTGTTTTTTAATTCTCTGATATTCACTTGTCCTAATTCCAAAGATCATTATAAAACAATACTTTATTAATATGTTAATTATTAAATATCAAGTTAAATGGTGCCATTTAATGCCTTGAATACATTTATTTTATTTGGACAGGATCTTAGTGGATTTTTATACTTCACCATTGGAGCAATATCAAAAACAGTTGCAACCATAGTAACCTACCCTTTGCAAATCTTGCAGTCTCGATTAAGAGTAAGTGTATTCATTTTTGATTCTGCATAATGGTTACTAATGAATGGTTGTGAACAAGTTATTTAGCATCCATTTGACATCATGAGATTTTATACTTATAATCCATGAAAAGTTGTTTATTGTAAGTGTAAAGCAATTTTTCAGTAAACCCTCCTATTTTGCATTTCTATAACTTGGCACACAAGTGCACAGATCTTCTGTGTGTGAAGTTTTTATTTCAATAATACATTTAATATTTCTGTGAAATTTTTTGACTTTCTGTTTTGGTCATTTAATGAGCTTTTAGACACTATACTTAAAATGGTAGAGATGTTGCCATGGTTACAAATTTTAAATTTTTTGAAATGTATTACATTTGACAATATAACATGGCACACAATTTTGATATAATTATGTGTATCTTTTTGAAAGTGTTGCCATGGTTGTATTTGAAATTTCTGTGAAATTTTTTGAAGGTAAAGTGTGCAGATTTTTAACTGGCACACAAGAGATTACTAATAAGAAAAATTTTATCAAGGATAGTTTCATTTCCTGTTGTAAAGAAAAAAGCTTAAGTTTTTTTTTACTCTGAAAGCAATCATTTTAAAACGTGATTTGTTCAATGTAAGTATATAAGATATTATTTCCATTCATTGAAGGCTAGTACCAAAAAATCAGAAAATTCCAAAAAGGTTGCTCAAAGTTTACTTGATATAATCAGGTAAGAGAAGAAAATTATAATACTGTTTCAGATTATTTAAAAGTTCAGTTCAATTTCAAATTTTGTGAATATGAAATTTTGCCATCTTCATGGATCATTTTCATGTTCCTTTAGAACCACTAAACCAATTTTAACCACGAACTACTCTTGGAGAATACTTTTCAAGTTTATTGAACTGAAGGGCAATACCCCTTCCAAAGGGAAATAACAAGCAATGGCAAAAATGGGATAATTTGCCCTAGAAGGGCACAGGGTTAAGGTGGGGCCACTCTGGACTATCAAAGTTTTATAGGAAGATAAAAAAAAAAATCTCAAAACAGCAAAACAATGAACTGGCATATTTTTATGGAAGCATCCACAGATACAGTACATTCAATTTTTTTTTAAATCTTGACACCACCCCCATCCCCTTTGGTAGGGTAGGGACAAATGGGCAATTGAAGTTTTAAACATGCAAAAATATTTGAAAAAATTCTTTTAAAATCTCAACAAGAAAATGAACCCATAACTAATAGTTATATTGATATGAAAGCTTTTACAGGTAGTATATATTCAAGTTTATTCAAATGGTATCCCCAGGGGTAGTGTTAGGATCCCTTTGGGATCAAAGTTTTGAACATGTGCATATACATGTATAGGAAAAAATCTGTTGAAATCTCAAGAACAGTAATAATCGTATTAATGTGGAAGCCTAGAATCAAACAAAGTTTGTTAAAATCATGATCACCGGGTTAGGGTTGAGCCACAATATTTGATGTAAGAACATATCAAGAAAAAAATCTGATGATGAAGAACAAAAGGGTCAGAATTATTCAGATGAGCATTTTGGCCCATGGACTTGTAAAGGAGGGGGGGGGGGACAAATGAATCTTAGAGTAGCTATTTTCAAAAATGAAAGAAAAACTTTCAGTTATATAAAGTGAAATAAATATTTTATAATCCTTTATTAAAGTTATGGATGTTTTTATACAGATCTGAGGGTTTTCTTGGATTATACAGAGGAATGGAGGCTAAGCTGGTACAGACAGTGCTGACGGCAGCTCTCATGTTTATGTGTTATGAAAAAATAGCTTCTTTAATCTTTAAAACGATGGGACTTAAAACGTAAACAAATCAAAGATTTTGTAAAACAATTATACTGTCATTTGTACACCGGTTCATTGTAATAATATAATTATATGTAGCTGTGCATTTATCATGACAAATGCAATATTTTATATTTTTTAACGTTACTTATTTTTTCATGTTTATTGAATAAATGTAATTTTAACAAAGTTGACTTTGTTACAAATTTGTTTTCTTAAGAGACTGGAATTGAGTACCTAATGCCCAGGAATGAGAGTGATCACTTCCTGGACATCACTTGCCTTTAACAGAACATTTTGGACTATGTCACCTTCAAAGTGACACAACAAAATAAACGTATTTTTAAATCCATATGACAGGCCGCAGTTAATCGTTTATTTGGATATCGTCCTTATAATCTGATAATAGAACAGTTTGGACTAAGTCACCTTCAAAATGATACAACAAAATATACATGTATTTTTAATTCTACATGACATCAAATCTGCCCTGTGATCCATCCGTCGTTTACGTAGCTTATTAATAGCCGCGACTTTCCCAGTATAAGCCTCCAACATTGACGTTTGCTGTAAACTATTTAGCTGGTGAATTAATGACAACGTTCACGTATATGGCTCTGAGACACGTGCTTAGTGGTAATGTTCAACGTTCTGGTCTTGACGTAAAATGCAGAATTTTACATGATACGACCACAACTCCGAAACGAACTTGTCAAATATAGCGTAGTTCTCTGTGATTTCGGAGGTATTTGCTTATAATAGACAGAGGACATTTTTTTTATGTATTAACATTTATCAAGACAAAGCAAGAGTTATCAAATAAAAATCAGCATCAACATGCTTAGAGACATAACGATAGAGTTGGAATCCAAGTTCTTTAGCAGGAGGGGGTATTGTATAAATTCTGAATTAAAAATTTCTGTACGGTAGCTCTTTTTATGTGCTTGCCTCTTTACATACACTTAGAGCATGTAATGAAAACCAAGTTAAAAGGAATGTCTGAAATATGAATTTAAAAATTTTCTTTAAGTAAAGTCTTGGGAATATGATGGCCGCGAATTTCTTGATTTTGTTGTAGGATCGTTAGATCTGGTTTGTTCCACTCACTGACTTGTAACTGCTGGTGTCGGTTAAATCTGCTTCATTGATGCAGAGAAAAATGCTTTTTATAATCGGGAAACGGCACACAAATTAGGCATATTTCATTTTGTGTTGAAATCGATACGTGTATTAAACCATAGACAGTTGTTGACTTGAATCCCTGATTATGTACAAATGCCTAGAGCTGATAAATCAGCTTAATTCGCAAATTAACAATCTGTTCATAAATATTGATGAAATGTAAATATTCTTAGACATCCTACGCCCATAGGAGATACAAATGAGAGTTAATTGTCAACTTTCGACCAAACTTCATCATTTGTTAAAATTGCTCTAATCTATGAAATGGATATTTTTTAATGTGAGCGGTTCTTCGTGAGATTTCTTATTCACTTTCAAAAAATATATGAAATTCTGTGTGGAATATTTTCTGTAAAATGTGAAGATTTGCCAAGAACGAAAAATGTCTGGTTTCTTTGGATCATCAGGAGGTGGCGGTCCATTACAAAACTGTATTCCAGGTCAACTGGAAACGGAATCGAAAAAGTATGCCGAACTAATAAAATTATTTCCAGTAGAGATCATCCCTACTAAAGAAATCCCTTCATGGGAAAGGGCTCTAAAAATAACGTTCTATATCCCGCCGATTTTGGTGAACCTCGTGGGAAACAGTTTGGTCATTCTTATTGTGGTGTTGAACAAAAAGATGAGAACGACTACAAATTTACTGATTCTGAACCTAAGTGTGTCTGACATTTTGGTGGCGTGTTTTTGTATGTGGATTCATCTAGCCACCCAACTTCAAACCGGGTTGTATTGGCCCTTTGGTGCTTTTATGTGTAAAGTGACGTCTTTAATTCAAGGTAACATCCCATAAATGATTGTATATATCTAACTGCTAACTCAGTGGCCTTGAAACTTGACTTTCCCTCCCTTATAATGTTACAACCCTGATATCATGAAATACTTAGTAGTCAAATTCTCTCTGATATACTGGAATAAAAAATCAGAATAAAAATAGCCTTATAGGGACCAGGAAGAGGGTATATAATGTACCAGTCCCTGTCGGCTAAATTAGGGGAGGGGGTCGTGTACATGTACAAATATAAATAATTCATGTACACTTGTGACTTTTTGTACATTTCTTTTTTTTTTTTTTTACCAAATGTTCCCTAACGGTATAAAAGTACAAATTGCCCTTGAAGTATTGCTATTATAACAAGCGAGGTCATGGTACTTGTAGTTATGGTATTCATTGCTTCTTGAGATATCGGTCGGAAATAATAGTTTTACACACAAACAGAATGTTTAAATCTATGACCTTGATCTTTGACCTTTTGAATTCAAAATCAAAAGGGGTCTTCCTTACGCCACGAGAAGATACTAGTATTTAAGAAATCATTGTCTAGTTAGTGGAAAACCCCGTAAAATCTCTTCTTTTTTATATTTAAGTTTGAATTTTATAATCAGGAAGTATATGCATTGGGATGGATAATTAATGGAGTAAACAAGCGCAAAAGTCATCTAATAATAAACAAATCAAATTTGGAGTAGAGCAATCACGGATCTCCAAAATATCAGAGGTGGGATCAGGTGCCGTGGAGGACTAAGCATCCCCTACCTACCGGTTTCACCCGCTGTGTGCTTCTTGTCATGATGGGAAAATAATGGAAAAATCCGTGAACAATTTACAGTGTAAATAATGGCCTAACAATTAGTATGAAAACGTCAGTCAGCTATTGACTTAATGATAAATTGTATTTGCTGACAAGGTCAACGTATCAACCACAGAACTTACGAAATGATGACTTTAAACGCGATTGTTGATACTGTTGTTTCATCAATTTTTTTCAATAACTTGCCCTCCTTTTGAAAGTGATCATACGTACAGTATACTCTTGCGTATCAAATCAAGTGAGAGATATAAACCACGTTTGCAGGTGATGATAGTATATTGCAGCATAAGTAAGGAAAGTCGACATTTTAACAGTAAACCTTGGTTGTTAGATAACCATTGAAATAAGATATAAATATAAAACAGATTTGTCAGACTATGTATCATCTTTAATAGATCATCGGGAAATATCGTTTCTACATATTAGAATGCAAAGAGACAATACAAGTATCTAAATGTCGAGTTGTAGGCCACTGTGGCACATCAATTGTTTTCTTAAATCCTTTTCGTGTATAAAATTTTGGACAAATTCTACTTCATATGAATACAAAAACTGGTCTGTTAATATAAACAAGGCGCCATGAGAAATCCAACAGATTCAATGTTGGAAGACCTGATCTCCAAAAAATACATAAATATTGTCTATTTGAAACTTTATTGTAAATTTATTTTGAATTTCTTTTCCTTCCTCTGCCAGTGACAGCCCTGACTTCCAGTGTGCTGACCCTGACCATTATTTCCCTGGAGAGATTCCAGGCTATAGTATTCCCCCTCCGGAGAAAGATGTCCCACAGGGCCGCGGTGGTGGCTATTTCTTGTTCCTGGATTGTGTCCATGGGGACAGCCTTTCCTTACTTACTGGTGAAGAAACAGACCGAGACACAGTTCTCAAACTTTTTAAGAATACAATGCAAAGAAAAATGGCCATCCTATTACACTGCATCGAGCGGGAATGGGTAAGAATTTTTTTTTTAATTTTAAAATTATCATGATTAATAGTAATATTTTAATTTTGGTAAATATTCCTTGATTTAAACTTTTTATTAGAACAATAAAATGCTATCTTTGTTAATTAATGCGGGAATTAATGGTTGCAATAACCCCCCCCCCCCAAAAAAAAAAAAAAAAAAAAAAAAACAAAAAAAAAAAAAAACAAAAACAAAAACAAACATAAATCTCGTTAACTATATTGAATTATGTATACAGGACAAAATTAGGGATCATCAAAAATATTTCCATACCTATGAATTTGTGTGAAATTAATCGGCTTTAGTAGTTGAAAAACATGTCATTCACACGATTCTATACTTGATTAGTACGTGTTTGATGAGGTTTGCGGCATATTGCCCAAGAAAGTAAGTGACGTAAAAAAGTATGTGGAACAATCTTTAGAGCACAGATGTATCAAAGAGGGTTTTATTTAGTGAACGAGAAAAGTTTCAGTATTTCTGACCAGAAGTGGTGATAAGACTATGAGGAGGCATATGGGTATCGACGAACGACGTACAAGAGAAGATATTTTCATTATTTTAATACAAAATATATGTTGTAAACATATCTTTGAAATATAACTTAAGTTCAGTATCTCATCACATGACTTTTTACAATGATACATATATATATATAATTATAATACTTTAATAACTATAACTTTTATGCAGAAAAGTAACATAATTATGCATGTTACTTAAACCTATACATATTATTCAGTTGCGTGCTGCAGATACTTTAACTCTTCCGTAAAAGAGAAATGTCGAGCAACAGCAACCTGTTTCAATAGGATTAATCTAAAATTCTAAATGGATAACAATTAGTCCTTGAACAATGTAGTGCATGACAATAAATGACAGGTATTATTTCTTTAAGAAATGAGCGCAGATTTTGATCAATTGAATTGTTTAAACAGATGTACAAAAATGTTTTATGCGGATATAATTCTACTTCTATTTTTTTTTTTCCTGTGACAACTCTTTGAAAGTAAGCGATTGGTGCATGCAGCACTCGGGTTTCTGAATTTGTTAAAATATTTACCCGTTTATTGCATCTAATATCAAGTCTCTAAACAAACATAGGCAGATAATATTGATGGTCTCTACCATAGGCTATTTACCAACCATAAACATTTTTTCCCGAATTCAATGTAACAGAATTTCAATATTTCATTTTTAATTATCATCTGTGCATCATTTTCCTGCGGGCCTGTTACGACTGCCGTACAAGATCGGCATTTGGCATTGACTTAAAACATTGATTATTGGAATAATGCGTGAAAGAGCATTTATCAAAGTTGGGTCCTGCACTTGCCTGATTTCAAGGTCTCGTACGTTACCGACTCTATTCCAAAGAAACTAATAAGTATATCCAGAAAAGTTTTGTTCAATGGGAACAAAAGTTCATGCTACAGGAGAATGTTATACAAGGTCATAAAAGAAATGTAAGGTTACAGTTCAAAAGAATTGTTTGACAAGAGAACAGTGTCAAAAACACTATTGCATATTAGTGTTGTCACGATGATCGATTTATAATCGATGATCGGTCGGAAAGGCTGTCGATTTTAGACAATCGATTGGAGATTTTAACAATCGATTAATCGGTATATTTCAGCACATATCTTTTTTTTTTTTACAGTTTTCTTACTTTTATTTCAAGAACAGGCTCTTGTTATCAAAATATATATCTTTCAAGAGTTGTCCTTTACTATTTTAAAATACATGTACTTAAAATCTGTTTAAAATAAATCAAAAAATAATGATATTTGCATTTCTAAACTGAAGAAACTAAACTACTTGTGTAAATGAAATATATTAGTTTTCAGTATTTGGGGGAATTCACCTGTCATTTCATAGGGAATTACAAGGAATAATATTAAATGTCTTATAATAGTTTAAAAAATTAATTCCATATACATTTTAGATGATCATGTAAATTAAAACCTGATCTGTCAATGCTTACTTTTCCCAGGCCAAGTAATTCCTAATCATGAAAAATTCTGTTTTACTGAAATTGTTAATCAAACTGCATATATACTGTTTTTAGAATTTCGATCTGTACAATGCACCTTTACTTACATTATTTAACAATAAAATTCTAATCTTTATAAAATCTAATGCCTATTTTATGCAAAGAGTTACCGATTCGATTATTGGCCGATGATCAGTTGGTTAAGGTCAACCGATGCTACCGATTAATCGATTCTGATTTTCAACCGATTTGACAACACCATTGCATATACATGTACTGTAGATTGTAGATTCACTGTATTGGAAAAACTTAATTGGACTCTGTCAAATGTAATTAATCTTTCAAATAATTTTTAAAGCTGATTTACGGTATATAACATGTATAATGCCGCTTGACGTACCCTCCTCGTCTTTAGGTAAATAAATATTTAATATGAGTGTCCTAGTCTCGTTTTTCCCAGACTCTCGCTCTCGAGACTTTGCCCGAGCGAGAGTCTGGTCTGATTCCTATTTAATTTTTGTAATTTCAAATCGAGGCTTACCGAGAAATCGGTATGGATTTTCATTGGCTGATACATTCTCTTCGATGCTAAGATCTGTATTCTTTAAAAAGTCAGAGGCTGCGCCTTTACTTTTATCTGGTTTTATAATAAAATACCTCTGTCTGCTTTACAAGGAACAAAAAACGCACATATCTTTGTTTAAAAAGTAAATTCTCACATGTATTTTCATGGAAGTCGCCATCTTGTCAGCCGGTTTAGCGACCTCTACTGGTTACAAAAATTAAATAGGAATCAGACCTAGACTCTCGCTCGGGCAAAGTCTCGAGAGAGAGAGTCTGGGGAAAACGAGACTATGAGTGTCCATGTATGAAAGATGTGCAGTGATCGTTACTGTCTAAAGGTTTTGATTTTAATAAAATGTGTTTGTGCAACACTGAAGCCCCCTTATGACAGCTTATGTTGAAGGTTGAATTTTCTCAAATGCAAGTTTAACTCCAAGGTCAAGGTAAAAAATTCCAAAGGAAGGCCTTGTCACAAGAAAGACACTTGTGAAATAATACTAACGGTTCAAAAGTTAAGGTCAAACATTTTTAAAAAGTGGACCAGATTTCAAGGTCAAAAGGTCAAAATTGTTGGTATCCAAAGAAAGGTGAATACAACTGTGAAATGTAAAAGCCCGAGTTCTAAGGTTCCAAAGTTATGGCCAAGTTATGAGTTTTTGAAAAGTGGACCAAACTCCAAGGTCAAAGTCAAAAGGTAAAATATTTTTAGACCAAATGAAAGGTCTTGTAAAAGTGATTATCCATGTGAGGTATGAGGGACCATACGCCAAGCAATCAAAAGTTATGGCTATGGTTATTTTGGAAGTTTTTTGGTAAGCGTTGGGAAAAAACTTCAAAATTCAAGGACACGGGGTCAAAATTATTGGAACCTCAAGAAAGGTCTTGTCACAAGGAATACACTTTTGAAATATAAAAGCCATAGTCCCACCAATTAAAAAGTTATGACAAGGTTTAAGTTTTTGCGGACAAACTGACAAACAGATTATCAGACAGACAGTCGGTCGGACAGGGCAAAAATTACAGTAAAACTCGGTTATAACGAAGTCACAGGGACCTGTGAAATTACTTTGCTATATCTGTAATTCATTATAACTGTATAAGAAAGTCATTAAATTTATATGGCTGGGGATTCAAGATGACTTTGCTATATCCGTAAATTGGCAATATCCGTGTTCGCACTAAACGAGTTTTGCTGTATATATATACCCCAAGTCTTTGATTACGGGAGCATAAAAAGCCCAAAAGGGGAACAGAACTGACTGAAACGTATTTCTATTTAATTATAGTGCAAGATAATAATGTAATCATTAAGTAAGGATATCTGATTCTTTCAATTTTACAGAACTTGCGAAACAGAAGAACCGGGAAAGAAGCTGTATTACACCTTGACCTTCATCATTATGTACGTCATACCTATTTTGGTTATGGGAATTACCTACACAATCATCAGTGTCACGCTTGTAAAGCGTAAAGGTCCAGGGGGCAAAGCAACGTCATCTATAGACAAGGCCAGAAAAAAGGTACACTTTCACAATAACTTCTGAAATACGTCGTGTACATTCAATCACTGTAAAAAAATAACTAGTTAATGTCACGAAGAAAATTAGCCACTGAAAAAACTACCTTAATAGTAGTTTTACCACTTTATATTTACACAATTTAGAATTGATAATTTCACAAGGTATATAAGTATCTAACAACTCACTATCTTAACCACTAAACTGAAAGTTTACTAATCACGACCAACGCTTTACGAAACACACTAGTTAAATTCACTAGGTTTTTTTTCAGTGAATGCTTGCAACGATTTGAGGGTAGTATATAAATTTGCTTTGAAATGTACTTTAAGTTACTGCCACTTACAGGGAATATCTCAGCTTAAATAGACCAAGTTCTTTTTAAACATTTTCAGGTCATCCGTATGTTAATTGTGGTCCTTGTCTCTTTTGTGATCTGCTGGACCCCGCAGTGGGCCTTCCTCATCTACGACGCCTATTTCCCACCTGTAGCAGATGAACAGGTATATAAAGGTCTGTCCAACTGTCTGTCTATCTGTGTCTCTCTATCCTCTCCCTTTCTCTCCGTCTCTCTGTTAATTATTATGTCTTATTAATATTAATTATGTTTCAGAGACCCGAGTACACCGTTGCTCTGAAGTACGCGGCTCTATACATCGCCTACAGTAACAGCGCGCTCAATCCAATCATGTATGCAGGGTTCAATGAGAACTTTAGGCGTGGGTTTTTAGATGTCTTCAGGTGTCGTATATGGAAGAAGAACAATCGAGTACACTCAGGTGAATTCAAGTTTTCTCTTTTCCCTTTGCAAATCTTGGGCTTTTCCGGTAAACCCGGAAAAGCGGTCACACGACGGAAAGATCCGAAATGTTAGGATTGAATCTCAAACACGTTGTACATAGAGGAAATGTTATTCTGCATCTTGGTATATATGTCGATGATTTTAGTACAATATGTGCAGGAAGAAAATGTCCTTGTTGCAATTACATAATGGCATCCACTCTATTGGAAATAAAAATTGCACTGTTATTGGGTTGCTGTTTTTCTATTTCTTTTTGATAAAGGTTCGAAGTTGTATAAACTGTGGCTTATAATCATATAAAAATAGTTAATAGAACATATGAATTTTGTAAATGTATTTATAAATTTATCCTGGTAATCTTGAGAAGACAGTACATTAATCTTTAAATTAAATGGGACACGAGTTTAATTGCGAGAGAATAGCAAGACGCGCCACAAAGTTTTTATTAACGTTTTTTTTTTTATGTCAATTATCAATTTCAATTCTTGTTACAAAATGGAAACAAAAATGATTGTTAAATTATGATATGATGTTTGAAGAACAGAAATAGTATTTTAAAGTATTTTTATGCAAATTGTTTGGCCCTTTCATTTGCCTAATTTACATTCCGATGGAATTATCAAGAAATCAACTCCACTAACTTTAAAATAGTTATCACAGAGAAAACAAATAAAAATGGAAATATAATTTGATAATCATGAGAAGTAATTTATTTTGAAAGTATATGAGATACGTGATTTAAAGAGAATAACTTTGATGATTCACGACGATTTCATAAGTTTTGTTTTTTTTTTATGTCAAATGGTAAATATATTCATTTGTTTTGATAATGTTTGAAGCAAAAAAAAAACCACATTTAACACCTTAAAAAAGACACACTTGGTTTCAATTATATTGTAAAGTTACTAGTATATGGACTCTCTATTGCTGGATACTCGGAATTGCATATTTTCAGATATGGTGAATTCCACAGTTGGTCCGGGCTCCATTAGGAACAGAGTGATGACTTTGGGAGGTAAATCAGCCGTGACCACGGTACATACAACAATGGAGGGAAATACTCATGTTTACGGGGCCTCCGACGATTGACTGATACTCCTTGTAGAGAGAGACAACCTGTTGTGTTTGTGTTTTTTGTTCAGTGTAATAAATTATTTTGGAAGAAACTAGCTTTGTTATTGCAGTTACAGTCAACGTAAAGAATGGCACTGTTGTACCGTTGTAGTAAAGTGTCGATGGTATTGATCAATTAATGTATGATTCTTTGTATTTCCAAATTACGCATCTGTTTTTGTTAAAAGTAATATTCCATTAGGTTTGTACACATAATATTTTAAAATGTTTATTAAAAATTAAAGTAAAATCTTCTTTAATTTTTTGTACACTTAGGCTAGAATTGAAGCGTCATCAAGAGATGGGAGGGGGAATCTTTGTGAAACACGTACATGTATATGGTCTGGATAAAATGTGTATATCTAAATCAGTCCTTCAATAAAAAAATCATTAAATGTAGCTGCTGTTTGATGAGAACTGAGCTCTACGTACCGTTATCAGAATAAAACCCTTTATCCTCCCTGGGGCTTATCTGCATCTCTCTAAAAAATTTCACTCATCAATCAAATACAAAATTTCTATTTTGTTCAATCTTTCTTCTACCCAAACTAGTCATTCGACAACAATCAGCAATACATGACAATCTTAATCGAAAAGTCCTTTGACATGCATGTATAACTACTGAATGATATAAATAATTTAGACTCATTGAGAAGAAAACTACTAGTCTGTTTTCAAACTTTTTAAAAAGAATTTAAACTGAATTTTATATTTTAAACAAGTGCTTGTTTCAACTTTTTTTCCCAGTGAAGTCAACATTGATTGACATTCCTGTGCCGTAAAGCAGTTAAATTCGTGTAAAGATAAGCAGTAATAATTCTCTGTAAACAAAAAATACACTCAATCTGTCTTGGAGGACTGCTTCTAAATTCTGGGTGTTTTGCTCTTACTCAATCTTGTCGTTCAATAATAAAAATCGTCAACACGTCACTTTGTCGAAAAGTCCTTTGACATAATTATTGATTGTTAAATAAGATTCCTATGAAAAAAAACAATACATAAACACACAAATCCCCATCCAGTCTGTTTTGTGAAAACTTTTTTTTCAATGCAGAAATTTAAAAGTGTGGATATTCAATTATATTTATTATTCAATTCAGAAAACAATTTGACTACGTTGATTTTGATTGGAGGCTTTGTCAGTCAATACAATGTGTTGCATTGTATTGCAGCAGAATGCAGGATTGTGCAATCGTACTTGTATTATTTAACTTTTCACTTTACTACAAATATCCCCAACCTTCCACCCTCAAAACACATCTCATATATGCAATTTTTACTTGCCATTGATTGTATGTAGGGAAATTTGCATAACACAAGTTCGATAACTCAAATAATGTCCCTTTGAACAACGTAGCAAAAACGTCTGCTTTATCTTATACAAATGTTTAGGAAATGCTAATGAATAGCATGCTTCTGTACTATATATATAAGACTTTAGAGAATCGCTTACAAATGAGCAAATGTAAAGGTCTGACTATATAACGGTATTGATATGTGTTAAGTTTGGTCATAGTGCGAGTTCATCTGACTTACCAAGTACTGCTTTGCAGTAATGAAAAACCCTTTTGATTCTTCTTCAAAGTCATTCGCTGCTATGTTTTATCGAGTCTTAAAATTTGTTCACTCATCAGTCAAACACAATAGTTCTTTTTTTCCACTGTGTACTCTAATTAAATAAAAATGTTTCAAAAATTACACGTCCTCAAGCATTACAATATAAAGCACTGCAGCGTAATTATGTCTTTATTTAAAAGCAGAATTAGTGTTAGTTTGCATTTGATAGAACTTCATTCTACATGCAATCAAAGTTTCCTCTGGATGTTTCGCTTATACTAAAATCAGTCCTTCGATAAACAAAAAGTTCCCTTAGACTAACTGTTGTTTGATGAGAACTGAGCTCTAAGTATCATTATTTGAATAAAAACCCATTATCCTTCCTGGGGCTTATCTGCATCACTCTCAAGATTTTCTCTCATCAGTCAAATACAAGATTTCTATTTTGTTCAATCTTTCGTATACCCAAACTAGGCATTCGACAAAAATCAGCAATACAAAAATTGTCGAAAAGTCCTTTGACATGCATGGAACAACTGAACTTTAAATTAATTTAGGTTCATTAAAAAGAAGACATTTAGTCTGTTTACAAAACATTTTTAAAAGAGAATTTAAACAAAATTTATATTTTAAAAAAAGTGTTTGTTTTAATCTTTTTTCTATGAAATCATGTGAAAGAACACTGGACTTATTTTATTTTATCGACATTGCAGTACCATAAATTGCAGTTAAGTTCTTATAAAAATAAGCATTAAAAATTCTCTTACAACAAGAAAAAATACAGTCATCTGTCATGAAGGAGTGTCCGTTATTCCAGGATGTTTTGGGCATACCCAATCATACTCAATCTTGTTCAATAATAAAAATCATTAACACGTAACTTTGTCGAAAAGTCCTTTGACATAATTACTGATTGTTAGTTGAGATTCCTATAAAAGAGTACAATCATATATGAGAATACGTGAATAAACAAATCCCCATCCAGTCTGTTTTGTGAAAACTTTTTTTTCAATGCAGAAATTATTCAATTGTATTTATTATTCAATTCAGAAAACAATTTGACTACGTTGATTTTTATTGGAGACTTTGTCAGTAAATACAATGTGCTGCATTGTATTGCGACAGAGTGCAGTAGGGTGCAATTTTCGTCTACTTTATTTTATGCAAATTCTTAGAAAGTGCTAACAAATAACATGCCTCTGGACTATATAAGACTTTAGAGAGTCGCTAACAATTGATCAAATGTAAAGGTCAGAGTACTTAACAGCAATGTTACGTGTTAATTTTTGATCTTACTGTGAGTTCAACTCACTTACCAAGGACTGCTTTGCTGTTATGAAAAGACCTCTTGCTTCCTCTACTGTTATTCGCTGCTCTGTTTGATTGAATCTCAAAATGTTAACCCATCAGTCAAAATCAAGAGTTCTTTTTTTTTTCCACTTTTTACCCTGATTATAAAAATGGTTCAAAAATTAGACATGTCCTCAAGCATTTCAATGCAATGCACTGCAATTATTTCTTTATTTAAAAGCAGAATTAGTATCTGCATTTGAAAGAACCTTATTCTTCATACAATCGAAGTTTCCTCTGGATGCTTCACTGATGCTAAAATCAGTCATTCAATAATAAAAAAAAATCACTAAAACTAACTGTTGTTTGATGAGAACTGAGCTCTAAGTACCGTTGTTAGAACAAAAACCCTTTATCTTTACTGGGGCTTATCTGCATCACTCTCAAAATTTTCTCCCATCAGTCAAATACAAGATTTCTATTTTGTTCAATCTTGCGTTTACCCAAACTAGGCATTCGACAAAAATCAGCAATACGAAAATTGTCGAAAAGTCTTTTGGCATGCATGGAACAACTGAACCGTTAATTTGGGTTCATTAAAAAGAAAACATCTAGCTAGTCTGTTTATAAAACATTTTTAAAAGAGAATTTAAACAAAATTTATATTCAAACTAGAGGTACTGTGAGCGATGAGCTCACTAAATGATACCCCCCGCCTCCATGTAGTTATAATGGCAAAGTCCATGTTTGCTGAGACCGGAAAACACAAAATATGTGTCGGATCAAAAAGTAAAATAGGAGGTGCACAATGGCAATATGTAATAAAGATTCTGTGAAAGTTTCATTAAATTTCATTCAGTATGAGAGAAGTTGCGGATAAGAGATGGGTACCCCAAAGCGTAACAGACGGACGGACGGACGGACGGACGGAATTAACGATTACTATATACCCTCCCGCTTTTCAAGCGGGGGTATAAAAGAAGTGTTTGTTTTAACCTATTTTCCTATGAAATCATGTGAAACAAAACTGAACTTAATTTATATTATCGACATTGCAGTACCATAAATTGCAGTTAAGTTCTTATAAAGATAGGCAGTAAAAGTTCTCTTACAACAAGAAACACAGGTAATCAAAGATTACGAAGCTCACCTCGACGAATGGTATCAGTTTAAGTAATGCAAATCTCACATCATATTTTCTTAATATTTAGTATTCATCAAAACAACAATATTCTTGCAAGTTGTGTTTAACCCCTTACATGGCATATACACATTTCTAAGCCTGTAGCATGAAAAATATGTATAGTGTAAACAAATATTCATAACTGTTAATAATGCAGATATCAAGGTCTTCAAGTTCATTCGGATTGATCTGTTCCCAAAACTTTAACCAAGTCTCTTGTATGGAAAATATAGGTCAGATCCAGCATCCGAAGCAAGCCTGATAGTGTCCATCCTTAGATGCATCATCCATGCAAGTTTGGTCCAAATAGGGCTTATAGTTACTTGGGAATGAAAATGTAGGTCAGATCCAGCATCTGAAGCAAGTCTGGTAGTGTCCATCCCTAGATACATCATCCATGCAAGTTTGGTCCAAATAGGGCTTATAGTTACTTGGGAATGAAAATATAGGTCAGATCCAGCATCCGAAGAAAGTCTGGTAGTGTCCATCCCTAAATACATCATCCATGCAAGTTTGGTCCAAATAGGGCTTCTAGTTACTTGGGAATGAAAAAGTAGGTCAGATCCAGCATCCGAAGCTAGTCTGGTACTATGCATCCCTAGATGCATCATCCATGCAAGTTTGGTCCAAATAGGGCTTATAGTTACTTGGGAATGAAAATGTAGGTCAGATCCAGCATCTGAAGCAAGTCTGGTAGTGTCCATCCCTAGATACATCATCCATGCAAGTTTGGTCCAAATAGGGCTTATAGTTACTTGGGAATGAAAATATAGGTCAGATCCAGCATCCGAAGCAAGTCTGGTAGTGTCCATCCCTAAATACATCATCCATGCAAGTTTGGTCCAAATAGGGCTTATAGTTACTTGGGAATGAAAAAGTAGGTCAGATCCAGCATCCGAAGCTAGTCTGGTACTATGCATCCCTAGATGCATCATCCATGCAAGTTTGGTTCAAAAAGGGCTTATAGATACTTGGGAATGAAAATATAGGTCAAATCCAGCATCCGAAGCTAGTCTGGTAGTGT